TTTGTAAAAATGGGTGGATGGTTAATTTTATTGGAATGGGAAAAAAATGATTCTAAAGTGGATGAAAACATGGCTAAAACACTTGATCCTCTTGAACACTTTTGATCCTAAAACTCAAATCCAAGACTTTCATTCTTGATGAACCTCTAATAACAAAGCCTTGTCAATGAATCTACAAGGTTCACCTCACCATGTCTTGCTCTAATAATCCATACCATAGTGTTGCCTTGATAACTTGAACTCAAAATAATCCGCATGACTCTTTCTTACAACCTGTATGTTTAAACATTGATGATTCCAAATCCAAATTCACTTCTTTAAGAGCCATATCTTCAATGCAATTGTCTAATCCATACCCAATTTTCATGACAATCAACAAATATCATCAATGGCCTTGACCACAACATGAATCCACAACAACCTCTTTATATTATGTCTTGACAAAAATATCAATGCTTTTGGAAACATAGAAGAACACTTTGATATCCAATGATCCTCAGTTGATGAAATATTCCCAAACTCAACCATGAATGAGAAACCCTAGTTATCCTTGAGATGTATACTGAATGAAGAAATGACTTGAGTTATTGAAGACTCAAACCCTAGTCCATAGTCTTCTCAATTATACCAATGAAGGAACCTTGAGGACTTGACACTCTTGATAGATCTCTGAAGAAAATGATGATGTATCCTGATAAAACTTTATAAAGGAAAGGCTTGTAGCCGGATAAATCTTGATAAAAAGATGCTTATGATGCTGTGAGCTCAACTCTTGCTTCAAACTTGAATGGAAGAATCTCAAAGCAAATAGGAAACCATGATTCAAAGAACCGATTTAATCCCATGTCTTAGAAGACCAATACAATGCATGATTATAAGTTATGACCTAATGGAAATGTAGATGAATGCGAAACAAAATCCAGTTAAGGTTAGAAAAAGTGAGGGAAAATTTTGGGGTGAAACACATATCCGTGAACAAATTGGCGATTCCAAATTATATAGTTGTAAATGAAGCTCATGATGAATCTAAAAAATAGAAAATGTCTCCTATTTTGATATTTATTGATAAAGATGATTTTATACATGTTGTGAATCAGATACCTTTAAACAAAGTATAAACGGTTTCTTAATGATCAAGAAACTCACAAGGGTTAGGGTTAACAAAGAAAACAAGGTAAAACAACAAGGAACAACAAGGATTGGTTATTAAACTGCTATTCTTTCCTTTCTCTTAGAATAATATTACAAGTATACAAGAATAACAAAATAACCTCTCTCCCTTGAAATTAGGATTTTATCTTCCTAATTTTCCTTATTCCCAGATTGAGAAACTAGCATCCTATTTATAATAAAATAGCACACTAACTTAATGGGCTTTTTAACAATTACCCATTACAAGCTAACTTAGGGTACAAGCTAACTTAAACAATTGGGCTTACAAGCAAGACCCAATTCAACATGCTAACAACCCTAGCAATATTTACTCATGCTAACAACCTTAGCAATATTTACTCATGCTAACAACCTTAGCAATATTTACTCATGCTAACAACCTTAGCAATATTTACTCATGCTAACAACCTTAGCAATATTTACTCATGCATGTTAGAACAAACTTCGACTACAACACGCATTACTTGCGAACAGACTTCGACCACACTAGAGTTCGATCCAATGTCTCACAAATCTCCACCTTGGATCTAACTCTATAACATCAAGAAACTAGCTTTCTTCATGCAGCTTTATTAACTGCATTCAACATGCTAACAACCTTAGCAATATTGACTAATGCATGTTAGAACAAACTTCGACTACAACACGCATTACTTGCGAACAGACTTCGACCACACTAGAGTTCGATCCAACATCTCACAAATCTCCACCTTGGATCTAACTCTATAACATCAAGAAACTAACTTTCTTCATGCAGCTTTATTAACTGCATATAGTGGAAAAACTTGCAACTGGGCAACGTCTTTTCTTTTTCCGTTAACGCAACGTCCATGGCTGCCTCACCCTTCAACGCTTCCAAACAACCATGTTGAATCAACAGGGCTTTCATCTTCAAGCGCCGCAGACCGAAGTCGTTCACTCCGGTGAACTTTTCAATCTCATATTTTGTTGAAGACATCTTTTCCACGCTCACCGCACCAATTTGTTGTGAATCGGACACCTTTAAAAAAAGTATAAACGGTTTCTTAATAATCAAGAAACACACAAGGGTTAGGGTTAACAAAGAAGACAAGGTAAAACAACAAGGAACAACAAGGATTGGTTATTAAACTGCTATTCTTTCCTTTCTCTTAGAATAAGATTACAAGTATACAAGAATAACAAAATAACCTCTCTCCCTTGAAATTAGGATTTTATCTTCCTAATTTTCCTTATTCCCAGATTGAGAAAATAACATCCTATTTATAATAAAATAACACACTAACTTAATGGGCTTTTTAACAATTACCCATTACAAGCTAACTTAGGGTACAAGCTAACTTAAACAATTGGGCTTACAAGCAAGACCCAATTCAACATGCTAACAACCCTAGCAATATTTACTCATGCTAACAACCTTAGCAATATTTACTCATGCTAACAACCTTAGCAATATTTACTCATGCTAACAACCTTAGCAATATTTACTCATGCATGTTAGAACAAACTTCGACTACAACACGCATTACTTGCGAACAGACTTCGACCACACTAGAGTTCGATCCAATGTCTCACAATACAAGAGATATTTTTTAGCCATGGACAGTTTAATGATACTACATCTTTAACTCTTAAGAAAAATTATGTGATATAATTTCTCTACATAACCTTGATCTCTATAACATTCGTGGTCAATGGTACGATGGTGCTAGGATATGGAGAATGTAATAGTTTATAAGTATTATTTATAAAGGATTGTTCTTATGCATATTATGTTCATTATTTTTCTTATTGATTGCAACTTGTCCTGGTTACTACATTAAGAGAATATAAATCAATTCATCAATTATTTGATAAGCTTATTGTGAACGTTATTTGTTCTTCTACAAAGCACTGTGATGAGTTACAAGCTTCCCAATTAGATGAAAGTGGTTTTTTAGAGATTGGTGAGATTGTAACTGGTAAAGGTGAAAATCAAACTGGTACTTTGAGATGAACTGAAGATACTTGTTGGAGATCACGCTTCTTTTCTATTAGTAGCTTGAGAAACATGTATGAAGCGGAGCAACTTATATTATTTCAATTTTTTTTTTGCAAAGGAATGATTAAATTATACTTCACGTGGAGATGCTGATAGTGCTTATAATTACTTAAAATCATTTGATTTTATATTCATATTGCCTGTGACGAAAGAAATTATGGGTGTCACAAATATGTTTTGCCAAGCCTTACAACAACAATCGCGGGATGTAGTTAATGTTATGCATTTGATTTGTACAACAAAAACTCTTATTCAAGAATTGAGACAAGATGGTTGGGATAAATTATTTACTTGGGTGAAATCTTTTTGTGAGAAAACATGACATTGAGATTCCTAATCTTGATGATGTTCATGCAACAACAAGATTTGAGTGCTCTCGTCTTAAAGAGAATCGGGTAACCATTGAGCATTATTTTAGAGTTGAATTATTTTTCACTATCACTGACAAACAATTACAAGAGTTGAATAGCAAATTTAGTGAGCAATCGATTGGTTTGTTAACTCTACGTTATGTTTTGGCTCCCAATGATAATTACAAGGCTTTTAACTTTGATACTATTTGCATTCTAGTTAAAAATATTAGCTTATGGACTTTAATGAGTAAGAGACAATTAATTTGCAATTTCACCTTTTCCATTTTATTTTTATTATTGACGCTTGTCAAGCATCGAGTTTGAACATTAATTTATCAACTATTCAAGACTTAGGTTCATCTTTGGTTGCAACTTACAATAATTAAATTTATTATTTGATTAATAGACTGCTCTACTTTGTCACGACTCTTCCTGTATCTACGACCACTATTAAAAAATCTTTCTCGACAATGAAAATTATCAATACAAAGATTGAAAAGAAAAATAAAAGTTTATTTTCTAGGAGATAACATAACAATTATTAATATTGAAAGAGAAATTAATACAAATATTAATTCTGAAACTATTAATAATAATTTTAAAATACTTAAAAACCCTAGAACATTATTATAAAGTATTCTTAAATAATAGTTTTTAATCATTTTATATTTAACTTTGTGTTTATTGCAATTTAAATATTTTATATGCAATTTAGTATGAATTTCTTTAACACCTAACAAGTTATTTTATATCGCTCTCCCTATTACATATCTGGATTCATAGCAGACAAACAAAAGTTGACATGATTGAATCATGAGATAATTGTGCAGCTTATTTAATTAATTACATGTACAACAATTGACAGATTTTCATTTTGCCTTGTTAACAAGTCAATGATATTGATATACATGGACTATTACAAAGTACAAACTATCTGTTTCTATCTAATTATATAACTAAAATATTCATTCAAAGTCTTCAAATTAATTTCCCAACTTGCAACTTTTGAAACCCCGTGACATGAACCTAATTCCACTCTCATCTCATACATCATCATCAAGAAAATGAAACCATCTTCAAAAATTAAAAAACAATAAATAATTAAATAATATGCATTTCCAAAAGAAGCAAGAACTTTGCAACCACCTATAGTGATTCTTGCATAACATAACATAACATAGACAAATAGAAAATGACAAAAAAATTCAATGAAAGTTTCATCTTTATTCATTTCTTTACTCAAATACAATTAAACAAAGACCAATAATTCGTTAAAATAAACAATACAATCCAACTAACAATACAATTAATTTATTGGCCATGCTAAATTATTCTTATTTAATATTACAATAGAAATAGAAAAGCCAATAATTAACATAAATTCAAATCATAAATCATGAATAGCGAGTTTACCAGATTCTTCTGATAAACTCGCTGTGATTCCATACAAACATCTAGAGACCGGCGGCGAACAGCACGCCAGTGCTCGGTAACCACGAATTACCGGCAATAAAACTTCCAACGGTGAAAGGTGAAGCTTGAGAAGCACTAGTGAGAACATGGTAACCTTTCCATGAAACCCTATTGGAAGTTGAAGAGCCGGCACCTGTATTTCCAAATTCAGCATAATATAAAGTATCCAAAGCAAAGTTACCACTCCATTCCAACCATCCAGCAGGGTTAATAAAACCATCAATAGAAGTTTTCATGAAAACGGTTCTTGAGTACTTTTGCCACGGTCGCCCGAGGTACGACTTAACCGAGCTAGGGTTTAAGTCAGACGCGGCCGTAACCCTAGAGTTGTGAATTATTATTCCGGTGTTTTGGTTTGGATCGGTTCGCCCTTGAGCGGTGACCGTGATCGTTTTCTGTGGCGGGTTTCTTGCCATAATGTTGCAACTTTGCAACACTACTGCGGCATTGCCGAAGATGAAATCGACAGTGCCGTAGATGTTGCATTCTCGGTAAAATTGTCGCTCGGAGTGAACATATAATGTGTCTTGATAACCTTCAAAGCTGCATTTGTAAAGTACACTAAGATCTGAGCCAGAACGGAATGCAACAGCTTGATGGTTTGCTCCTCCAGCTGTGTTTCTAAATGTGATGTCTTGACCAATAAATCCATCACCAACCACAGCTGCAAAAATAAAACATACAAATATTAAACTAAGAAAATTTAAATTTTGATCATATTACTACTAAACCATACTAGTATTATTTATTATAAATAAATAAATAAATAAATAAATAAATATATATATACTAGTTCCTATCTAGCTTATGTAAATTGACATTCTAACAGATTATAGATTCCTATCGAAATGCATGACGTAATATGATTATGACTAATCTTTTTCATATACTAATTTTGATATAGATGGTTTCTTAAGCACCTAATATTTCATACTCTTGATTTAAATTAAAGTACTTAAAAAATGGGCCCTTATTTAATGTGTTACCACATAGGAAACTATATAAGTGGTCCTTGTGAAAGAAAAATAATAATCTAGATTGTCTTTTTTTCCATTTTATTTTATGAGATATTAATATAGGTTATTGTCGGCACGTCTCTTTTATAGTTTTTGATAGAGAAAACAAAATTTATATAAGTTAAATAGAAGCTATATATAGATATTTGACCGGAAATAAATAAATATTAATCACCAAAAAAAATTACAATGATGATAATTAATAAACAATTAATAATTTAAAATATGTAAATTAATTTTTTATTTTTTGTAAGTTTGAAATAATCCGGCTAACTTCCAAAGCAAGAAAATAATATTTAATATAGGAAAATGACTTATTGATAGTTTAGTTGTTGGTTAACAGTATGTATGAAATTTGTAATTAATAAAGTACTAGTAATAAATATATGATATTGATAGTTAGTCTAAATAGACTAGGATAGATTATTTGTTATGTATACCAATATGTATGTAAGTGTATAGTTAACCAATAACTAATTACTCTTCCATAAATGTTAATAACTATCATTGAAGTTCATTTTGGATCATTTGCAACTAACTAGCATCTCCAACCAAACATCTACTATTTTATTGATCTAACTATTAAAAAATAATATTTTTATTCATTAACTTTATTTTTATAAACATAATGGTAACAATCATTAGAAACACTACTATAATTATAAGATTTTGAATTTGAGTATGAGTTGTGGTATCTGACCCAAATATTATTTTTTATCAGAAACTTTTATAATTATAAAATTCTCTTTGATATGTAATTCAAAATAATATTTAATCCGTAATTATTTTTTTTGTCATTTATTCTTAATATAAAAAAATTATTTTTTAAATTCTTTAAAAATTAATATATTTAAACAATATATAGTTCAGACACGTTGATTGTTCAAAAAATTAAAAAATCAACTTATTCTTATATTACGTTAAGAACAAGAGAGTAATAATTATCAAAACTCACAAAGATTTTGAGTTTAACACAAAGATTAAAAGTTACATATTTGTTATAAAAAATTTTGGAAGCAAATAATGATGAAATAAAGTGTTACTATAAGTGCTTACCAAAGCTTGCTGAACGGAAGGTAGTGGTTCCTCCTCCAACACTTTTGCTACCAGTGATTATAGTCTTTCCAATACCATCTCCCACCAACATGACATTCTTTGCTTTGACCTCAACTTGTTCATTGTAGACACCAGCCTTCACATATATCACATACCTTCCACTACCACTCGGCGCAGCATCCGTCGCCGCCTTCACGGTTGTGTACTTGCCGGAGCCGTCTTTAGCAACGACGACATTGGCCTTCGAGGCGGCCGAGGATGTTTGAAGAAGCTTCCGGTCACCGGGCTTAACCCATGTTGGGAATCCATCTTTGTAACTAGGTTTTTGGTAAGGAACCTTGTTGAGAGCCAAGGTGTTACTTAACAACTTTGTTACATTGTTTGACATCAAGGGTAAGACATAGTTTGTGACACCTAGGTCATAAAATCCATTCTTGCATGTTTCGAGATTCGTCAAAGCGGAACTAAGCCATGTTTGAGAATCGGTATGTTTGCAATTCGGAGTCGTCGATTGAGTTAGCTTTTGGACTGTGAAGTCATAGAGTTCAAGACAATCAGCCCAAGCGGCTTTTTCTTGCGCGTTACGGCACTTGGGGCCGAGAGAATGAGTATTCTCTTCGCCCTTTCGTGCTCGCTGGATCGCGAGTTGAAGCGAAACTTTGAAAAAGTCGGATTTACTCTTAATTGTTTGGTTGTAAGCATTGTTGGTTAAATAATACTCACATGTTTGAGGATAAGGAGTTTGATTACACCATGATTTTATGGAACTTAGAGAGTAACCATAAACAATAGTTGAGAAAAGAAAGGGAAATAAAATTAAAAGAGTTGTTACCAAAGGAAATGAAGCCATTGAACAATGATTTTAGGGTTTGGTTTTTTGAGGTTTTGGTTTTTGATGATTATGTCCTAAACTTTGGTGCCTTTTTATAGAGAGAAAGAAGAGGTGGTTAAGTTGTGTAAACTATGTGCTTACCATGTCTTACTTTTCAAATTTAGTTTATGGATTTGTGATGATTTTCCATGCACGTCTTGTTGTAGGAGCAACAACTTTTGAAAATTTTAATGCATAATATTTGAGTTGGTAGAAATATTTTATGAATATTAGAGAAAAATATTGCTAGAGGATAATGTTTGTCTTATTTGACCTTACCAAGATGATGACTAGACCTAATAACGACATTTTTCATCCAATAATGAAACACCTTAAAATATTTAGATAATAAGTTGAATATAAGCATGCTATATAAGATATTCGATATTCTGTTCACATAAAAATATATTCAATATTCTTTTGTTTACCAAAGATAATTCAATATAAATCTTTTACTTGAAAACCACTTTTAATATTTCGTCTTCATTATTCATGTCTACGTTCGGTTATCATATTTGAAGTTTTTAAAAAATTGTTGAACCAAATTCAAATTATATATTTTATTAGGTCGATAGTTGTGCATGGACATTATATATCTGAAGTGAATGCGCGTTTAAATTTGTGATATTCTAATTATTTTTGAAGGATAAATTTTAATTATTAAATTATTAATAAAAAATATTTGAACCATTATATTTGATGTGGACCCAACATGTGTAACCAAATGATAAATAAATCAAGCTAAATTGAAGTGAAAATGAAAAAATATTAAAAACAAAATTAAAATTTTTTATTTAAAAAATTCAAAAAAATAATATGCATTTGACAAAAACTGTTTCTTACGATTTTGTGCTGTTTAGAATTTAAAATTAATATATCAAATTAATGATAATAATAGTAAAATATTCAATTTGATTTGGTGATATTTTATTATAGTTTGGTTTGATTATCTGAATAAACTTTATATCAACAACACTCATCATATTATTATTATTATTATTTTTTTTTATTATTATTATTATTATTATTATTATTATTATTATTATTATTATTATTATTATTATTATTATTATTATTATTATAGATACCACTTTTCAATATTACAAGATGCAAAATTAAACTTAGCGATTGTTTACTAATTGTGGCTACACTTGGAGACAAACTTTGTTTTTGATTTGTAGTTGCTGCTTATTGCCTTTCAGCATGCTGCATAACATTAATAAATACCATTAGTTAATTAGTTTATTGTCTCGTAATTTCCTAAATTAATATAAACATTTGAAATTGTCAAAAGAAAAAAAATTAAAACTTGTAACGCCCAATTGGGAAAATAATTATATAGACTAAAAGTTTATTCAAAAGAAAAATGAAGTCTAGAAGTCTTAGATTTTGATTGAAATAAATACATTGAAAAGTTACTTTTATAAGGTTTTTTTATAAAGGAAAATAGAAGGAATAAAGTTCACTTTAGTTTAACTTTTCCATTTGTGTTTCTCTTGTTTAGTTAGGCATCAGATATATTCAGATTTGACAGAAAAATTTATATGGAGACTTTTCTTTCTATCGTGTATTGCTAAACAATGATGTCTCTTTTTTTAGTTATAGGATAGTGAAGCCTTTGCAACAAATTTAGCAATAAGAAACAAATTTTATATAAAAAATATATAAAATTTGCTGTAAAATATATTATTGAAATTTTTTTTTTATAAACAATATTTCATTCATCAAGGAGTACAAGGGTATTCTAACCCAATTTACAAATTATACACCACCTTCCTGCAATAGGATTATCTAGAAGTAGTATTGGGCATTTCACCATTCATAATAGTTACATTTAATTCTATGGTTTGAACCTATAGATAACCACCATCACAAGAAGATTATGATTCTATGCATAATTACCACGGGATCACCAATTTCATTATTGAATATAATCTGATTCCTAGACCACTAGATGCACCATAATGCAGTAAACCAAATAACACAAGAAGACATTTTTGAACATCTCCTTCTCATACTTGCAAACCAAGCCAAAATATGGTCGCAACAAGACATTTCATTAATCCAAGAGGCACCAACCCAATCCACAATTTTCTTCCACACCAATCTAATTTGGGGGCAAGAAATAAAAACCTGATTGATATCTTCATCATAATTAAAACAGAAGACGCAAACCTTGTCATGAGTATTAGTAATGACTCCTCTCAAAGCAAGGTTAGTTCAAGTTGGAAGTCTATAAATAATCAACGTCCATCCAAAAATCTTCACTTTCATTGGCAACTTTTTTTCCACATTACTGATAGTGCTGCCTTGTGTGCAGACTCAATCTCGTTTATGCCTACAGCTTGCAACAAATTTTTATAGCATGATTTGACAGTAAACAAATTAAAAGGCCCCTGAGGCCACAATATGATATCAGTAGTATCCTTCTTGGGGCAAACTTCACAAAGCAATTGCGTCAGTTCCTGATACTCCTCCCTTACTATGCTATCCTCCTCCAAATTATTGAATCCTAGAACCCACTGCCAGACTTTCCCTTCCCACACCCCCATATCCCTCACTGCCTCGTGTTTCATATTAGAAGCATCAAACAGCCTGGGATAAAGATTCTTTTGTGTGGTATGACCAATCCACCTAGAGGCCCAAAAAGAAATATAAGCTTCATCACATAGTCTGCACAATAACAACATAGAAAAACTAGCATGCTCCATTGAACCTCCATACTTCATCAAGTCCCTCCACCATAGTGATTCTTGACAATTGATTCTTGGCACATCCTTGGATATAAGTCTTATAACAATGTTTCCATATCTATGTTCCAAAATCCCATTCCAAATCACCAGTCTCCCGAATGAACCTCCTTAACCACTTTGTTAACAATGACCACTTGAATAGATCCATGTCTTTGAACCCACACCCATCATTCTCCTTAGAGTTACATACATACTTCCAGCTTACCCAAGCCACACTTCTCTTCTCCATCGAGCCAGACGATAAGATATTTCTCTAAATCAAAATGATTTCCTGTAGCATTTTTGTTGGGGCTTTGAAGAAGGATAGATGATGTATAGGCACGTTCATTAGAACATAATTGATAAGTGTGACTCTTCCCCCAATGGACAGAAGCTTTCCCTTCCATGGTGATAATCTTGTCTTGAAACCTGAAATTAACGGTTTCCAAAAGGCCACCCTTCTATGATTTTCTTCATCAATGAGACCAAGGAATTTGAATGGAAGATATTCCTTCTTACATACCAGAAACTGTGCAGCAACATTCGTGAAGGAATCATCAATCCCAGCCCTATATAAATAACTCTTCCAAGTATTTATTTTTAGACCAGATGTCATTTCAAATCCCCTTAGTATTGATTTCAGTTCCCAAAGATTAAGCCTAGACCCATCACACACAAGGACTGGGTCATCAGCAAACTGCAATAAACTATATGACACTTTATTATTAACCTTGAATCCACTCAATATATCCAAACTAACAACCTTTCTGACTAATGATGCAAGCTCTTCGACCACAATGGAAAACAAGAAAGGAGACAAGGGATCTCCTCGTCTCAATCCTCTCAACATCTTAAAATCCTCGGTTGGACGTACCCATTCACCAATACTGACATATAACTAGTAAAACCCCTTCTCTTCATCCACTTCATCCACTTATGATCAAACCCCATAGCCACCAACACCTTCTTTAAGAATTACCAATCAACAAAATCATATGCCTGAGAAAAATCAACCTTGAATAATAAATAGATCCTTGTGGAATAATCAATACAGAATCAAATGATTCTGTTTGTACAACTCATTAGGATTAGTACTAATGTAATTAATTAGTTATTATTTCCTATTTTTACTATAATTAGAATTAGCATTTATGGGAAAATTAACTCCCCTGATTTCTATGACAAATTTCCCTTTCAAATTCTGCCTTATGTATTCTATAAATACTGCTATGTAATTCTCATCAAATACAAGGAAATATAAAGTATATTTCTTCATGGTATCAGAGCATGATTTGAACCATCCCTAACCTAGCGCCGCCAAACTATGGAGGATCCTAAATCTGATGAATCGCTCAAAGTGGAGACTGGATCATTTTTGACCAGTTCACACGAAGGGATCACTCACCTCATCACAGGCCATAAATTAAATGGTCAAAACTGTACCCATTGGGTAAGGTCAGTCAAGATCTTCCTCGAAGGAAAAGGAAGGGAAGGCTACACCACGGGAGATTCTAAATGTCTTGCGGAAGGAGGCAAAAATTTTCAGAAATGGAAACTTGAGAACAGCCAAGTAATGTCATGGCTGCTCAATACCATGAAAATTGAAATTGGTGAAAATTTCATGTTCTATGACACTGCAAAAGAGATATGGGATGCAGTGAAGGAAACGTACTCAAATGTTGATAATACATCTGTCGTATTTGAGATAAAAAGCATTCTTCATGACCTTCGACAAGGAGAATCTTCTATTACCGAGTATTTTAACATACTTAACAAACACTGGCAGCAACTGGACATATATGAAGAGGTTACATGGTGTTGTACAGAAGATAAAAAGAAGTATAAGGAATTGGTGGAAAAAGATAGGATTTACAAATTCCTATTGGGACTAAACAAGGACCTAGATGAAGTTTGTGGAAGGATCCTTGGAACCAAACCACTTCTCAATATTCGAGAAGCCTTTTCAAAAGTGAGAAGGGAAGAAAGCAGGAGGAAAATCATGTTGGGGACACCCGACTCAGTTCCGTACAGTGAGAGCTCTGCAATGGCAGCAAGGGGGAATCAGCCTTGACCATCACAAAAGAAAAACTGCCCCTGGTGTGATCACTGCAAGAGACCAGGCCACACAAAGGAAACATGTTGGATCATACATGGAAAACCTTCGGAAGCCAAATTTTTCAAAGGCAAGGAGGGAAGAGGTAATACAACATTTAACAACCAAGAAGCTGAGGTATACTCTAACTCATC